GTTAATATACTGTACATGTTTTATCATTCATGTACTGCTCATGAGGAGCGGTATTACAACAAAAACATGCTCATTAATGTGGTTGCGCTTTGCAGTGGTGAAGAACTACACTGCACTCTACAGGTATATGGCAGGTCCGATGGTGTGGGAAAAACTGTCAATTTATCTGAAATCAATGAGGGAAGTCTTTAATAAGGATGACAAAAATAGTGTGACCTCAGATACAAAGTACAGTATTTAATCAGTGAGGTAAAGGAATTTAATAATCTGTCAATGTATTTGAAATTAATGAGTGATTTCTTTAATAAGAATGACAGAAATAGTGTGAGGTTAGATAAAAATATTTAACAAGCTAAGAAGCAAAATAGCAAAGTTGAAAATATTTAAATGATAATATATGATAATGTACAATAAAATACTAAAAAGGAAAATACATGACAATAAAAGAATATATACCCTCACCGGCCACTTTATTAGATACACCATGCTAGTAGCGGGTTGGACCTCCTTTTTCCTTCAGAACTGCCTCAATTCTTCATGGCATAGATTCAACAAGGTGCTGGAAGCATTCCTCAGAGAACTTGGTCCATATTGACATGATGGCATCACATAGTTGGCGCAGATTTGTCGGCTGCACATCCATAATGCGAATCTCCCGTTCCACCACATCCCAAAGATGCTCTATTGGATTGAGATCTGGTGACTGTGGAGGCCATTTGAGTACAGGGAACTCATTGTCATGTTCAAGAAACCAGTCTGAGATGATTCCAGCTTTATGACATGGCGCATTATCCTGCTGAAAGTAGCCATCAGAAGTTGGGTACATTGTGGTCATAAAGGGATGGACATGGTCAGCAACAATACTCAGGTAGGCTGTGGCATTGCAACGATGCTCAATTGGTACCAAGGGGCCCAAAGAGTACCAAGAAAATATTCCCCACACCATTACACCACCACCACCAGCCTGAACCATTGATACAAGGCAGGATGGATCCATGCTTTCATGTTGTTGACGCCAAATTCTGACCCTACCATCTGAATGTTGCAGCAGTAATCGAGACTCATCAGACCAGGCAATGTTTTTCCAATCTTCTATTGTCCAATTTCGATGAGCTTGTGCAAATTGTAGCCGCAGTTTCCTGTTCTTAGCTGAAAGGAGTGGCACCAGGCGTGGTCTTCTGCTGCTGTAGCCCATCTGCCTCAAAGTTCGACGTACTGTGCGTTCAGAGATGCACTTCTGCCTATCTTGGTTGTAACGGGTGGTTATTTGAGTCACTGTTGCCTTTCTATCAGCTCGAACCAGTCTAGCCATTCTCCTCTGACCTCTGGCATCAACAAGGCATTTCCGCCCACAGAACTGCCGCTCACTGGATATTTTTTCTTTTTCGGACCATTCTCTGTAAACCCTAGAGATGGTTGTGCGTGAAAATCCCAGTAGATCAGCAGTTTCTGAAATACTCAGACCAGCCCTTCTGTCACCAACAACCATGCCACGTTTAAAGCCACTCAAATCACCTTTCTTCCCCATACTGATGCTCGGTTTGAACTGCAGGAGATTGTCTTGACCATGTCTACATGCCTAAATGCACTGAGATGCCGCCATGTGATTGGCTGATTAGAAAAAAGTGTTAACGGGCAGTTGGACAGGTATATCTAATAAAGTGGCCAGTGAGTGTATAACTGGACTAAATTAATTCTACCCACACGCAGAACTGTTATTCAAGTTAAAATCCCCATGTAACAAAGTTACAATTCCTCAAAATATCAAAAAGGAATATCCTTCCATCCATTTTCGGATCCGCTTATCCTCACAATGGCCACAGGGCATGCTGGAGCCGATCCCATCCATCTTCAGGCAGTAGGCGGGGGACACTCTGAACTGGTTGCCAGTCAATCGCGGGGCACACAAAGACATACAACCATTCGCGATCACACTCGCACCCAGGGACAATTTAGAATGTTCCATTAACCTGCCATGCATGTTTTTGGAATGTGGAATTTTGGAATTTTCTCCTCCCTGTCACTCATGCTAAAAGTTTACTAAAGTCCAACGGGTAACAAATTATTCCTATCTGCTCTAAGTCTCACACTATCAGCAATGAAAGAAAAGAAAACATCACTTTCAAGTAGCTTACCTCGTTCTCTAATTAAAGAAGATAGGGCCTGTCCTCCGAGACAAGTTTCTCCTACGGGAGACCAAATAAAAAGTCCAATTCAAATTTTCCAAACCTCCCAGAGGAAAAGAGCCCCGAATTTTAGGGATTCTTACTTTCATAACCTTGTATATGGAGTAACAAGAAGGGAGTGCCACAAAATGTTTTTTCCCCAAGTATTGACTATTTTAAGCTGGCTCTTGTGCTCCATTTCTGCTACATATTTTTCTTAGTTCACCGTCACCCATTAGGACCTCCTGTTCACTCATATTTATACCCTATAAGATATTAATTCAATCATCAACAGCTCATTTCCCCATCAGGGTAACATGTTGATGTCAATCCTTTGAACACACTCATTCTTTTGCCCAACTATGGCATGAAATTTCTCATCAACAATCTAATCTGTCTCTTTCCCCATCTGGGTAACGCATTGATATCAATCCTCTGAATAAACTCATAAAACACATAATCATGATTATATTTCGAAAATCTGATTGTATAATTGTGTTTGTGTGTGTATGAGTGTGTGAATGTGTGTGTGTATGTCTTAAACAAAAATCATATCAATACCTTTTCGCACATGAAATGTAATTAACGTTTAAACACATTAAACGTAACTGTGAGATACATGCTTCATGGGCAAACTCTTTTGGAATATATATATATATATATAT